CTCCTCTGGTGGGTGCTGTTCACAGCTGTGGTGGCTCCTCTGGCTGGTCGGGGGAGGCTTCACACACAGCTGCTGTTCCTCAGACTGAGGGTGTGCTGATCACGGGGCTGCTGTTCCTTGAATGGGTGTGGGCTACACAAGCGGCTGCTACTCCTGAACTGGGGCGGACTGCTCACGTGGCTGCTGTTCCTTGAATGGGGGCTGGCTGCACGCTGCTGTTGTTCCTCTGATGTGGTGGGCTGCTTGTGGGGCTACTGCTCCTTGTACTTGGACAGGTTGATTGCAAGTCTGCTGCTCCTCGGACGGGGGTGGGCTGCTTTTGCAGCTGCTGCTCTTTGGACGGGAGTGAGCTGCATGCGTGGCTGTTGTTCCTCTGAGGAGGACGGGCCACTCACCCAGCTGCTGCTCGTCGGACAGGTGCAGGCTGTGTGTGGCTCTGCTCCTCGGACGGTGTGTGCTGCACAGGGCTGCCGCTCCTCAGATGTGGGCGGTCTGCTCCTGTGGCTGCTGCTCCTAGGACCGGGGTGGGCTGCTGCTGCTCCTCGAATGGGGATGGGCTGTTCGCAGAACTGCTGCTCCTTAGATGGGGGCGGGCTGCTCACACAGCTGCTGTTCCTTGGATTGGGCAGGCTGCTCGTGCGGCTGCTGCTGCTTGGATGAGGGCAAGATGCTTGCACAGCTGCTGCTCCTCGGACTAGTGCAGGGTGTGGGCTGTGCACAGCTGCTGCTCCTCACATGGGGGCGGGCTGCTCAGGGCTGCTGCTTCCTCAGACGTAGGTAGACTGCTCATGCGGCTGCTGCTCCTCAGACAGGACGAACTGCTCACATGGTTGCTGCTCCTCAGATGGGGAAGCGGGCCGTTCACACAGCTGCTGCTCCTTGGACAGGGGCAGGCCACATGAGGCTGCTGATCTTAGGCCTGAGGCAGGCTGCTCACAAGGCTGATGCTCCTTGGACAAGAGCGTGCTGCTCACGTGTCTGCTGCTAACGTGGTATGAAAAAATATTGTGAAAAGAAGTAGGAAATAAAGCAACAAACAGAAAAAGGGAAAACAAATAAAAGAGCAACAAAAAAAAAGCTAACTAAATAATAATAAAATAATAAAATGAAAAATTGAAATGTCATTCCTTTGGCTGGCTTAAGATCCCAGTTTTCTGGAATGTCTGTGATTTTTTTTCCGTTCTTTTTGGCGTTCTGTTTTAGGGACTTCTATTATGTGTGTGGCTCTCCTTTGTCTCTTTAATATCTGTCACTCCTTCTTGAATCTTATCTCTTTCTTAATTTCTTTTTATTTTTAGATTTTTCCTACTTTCCTGAGGCATTATCTGCTCTGTTAGTTCACTCTTATATTGCTCCTCACTGTGCTCCTCATTCAGTGATATTTTTCCTTTTACTTCTCAGTCTTTCCTAAGTTGGTCACCTCTTTTTGGAGTTCATAATTCTGATTTTTATTGTTGTTCTATGTCTTGCATCATTTTCCCAATGCCTCTTAGCTCATTTTGAAATAAAAGATTATAAGATTTGATATGCTCTTGACATGGTTTCTTTGTCTGTAAGAATGCTATTCAATTACTTTTACATTTTTACTAAAAATAAAAAATTATATTTGACCTTAATACTTTTCTGTTGCTCATTTTTACACAAAATTAGTATTACTGAACTTGTTTCAAGGTGGCTTTTCTAACTTCATGGCGATCCCACTTCTGTTATTTTCACAGTATATATATATCAGTAGATATATAGATATAAGTATAGGTATAGGTATAGATAGAGATAGAGATAGAGAAAGAGAAAGAGATAGAGGTAGAGATAGATGATGTAGATTATAGATAGATATGTAGATAGATATAAAGATAGAGATGGAGATGGAGATGGAGATGGAGATGGAGATGGAGATGGAGATGGAGATGGAGATGGAGATGGAGATGGAGATGGAGATGGAGATGGAGATGGAGATGGAGATGGAGATGGAGATGGAGATGGAGATGGAGATGGAGATGGAGATGGAGATGGAGATGGAGATGGAGATGGAGATGGAGATGGAGATGGAGATGGAGATGGAGATGGAGATGGAGATGGAGATGGAGATGGAGATGGAGATGGAGATGGAGATGGAGATGGAGATGGAGATGGAGATGGAGATGGAGATGGAGATGGAGATGGAGATGGAGATGGAGATGGAGATGGAGATGGAGATGGAGATGGAGATGGAGATGGAGATGGAGATGGAGATGGAGATGGAGATGGAGATGGAGATGGAGATGGAGATGGAGATGGAGATGGAGATGGAGATGGAGATGGAGATGGAGATGGAGATGGAGATGGAGATGGAGATGGAGATGGAGATGGAGATGGAGATGGAGATGGAGATGGAGATGGAGATGGAGATGGAGATGGAGATGGAGATGGAGATGGAGATGGAGATGGAGATGGAGATGGAGATGGAGATGGAGATGGAGATGGAGATGGAGATGGAGATGGAGATGGAGATGGAGATGGAGATGGAGATGGAGATGGAGATGGAGATGGAGATGGAGATGGAGATGGAGATGGAGATGGAGATGGAGATGGAGATGGAGATGGAGATGGAGATGGAGATGGAGATGGAGATGGAGATGGAGATGGAGATGGAGATGGAGATGGAGATGGAGATGGAGATGGAGATGGAGATGGAGATGGAGATGGAGATGGAGATGGAGATGGAGATGGAGATGGAGATGGAGATGGAGATGGAGATGGAGATGGAGATGGAGATGGAGATGGAGATGGAGATGGAGATGGAGATGGAGATGGAGATGGAGATTAGATGCTTACTTAGGTTTCCCAGCTCTGTTCCCCTACCCCACCTTTACCTTTCTTCACTATCTCTTGTCTCTCTTGTCCCTATCCTGCTCAATTTTTTAAAATATATTTTATTAATTTTTTACACAGAGGAATGGAGAGGAATAGAGTTAGAAACATCGATGAGAGAGAAACATCACATCGATCAGCTGCCTCCTGCACACTCCCTACTGGGGATGTGCCCACAACCAAGGTACATGCCCCTGACCAGAATCAAACCTGGGACCCTCGAGTCCATAGGCTGACGCTCTATCCACTGAGTCAAAACGGTCAGGGCTGTCCTGCTCAATTTTGATTCCACTTTCAGAGGTTTCTCCTGGAAAGGAGCTCTGATAGTTTTGTGTAAGAGTTTTATGCTGGGCCCTAACTGATTTGGCTCAGTGGATGAAGCGTCAACCTGTGGACTGAAGGGTCCCGGGTTCGATTCTGGTCAAGGGCATGTACCTTGGTAGCAGGCACATCCCCGGTAGGGGGTGTGCAGGAGGCGGCTGATCAATGTTTCTAACTCTCTATCCCTCTCCCTTCCTCTCTGTAAAAAATCAATAAAATATATATTTTTTAAAAAAACAGAGTTTTATGCTGTAGGAGAGAGAGCCAGGCCAGGCAGCCAGAATCTGCCCCCATAACTTGTTCTGGAGAATGTCACTGCCATCCCACCTCATTCTGGCCCTTAAAATCCTCCCTGGCTCATGCATGGAAAAATACACGTTGTTTAATTCATTTAGCACAACACAAGTAGCCTGGATTGTTAAGTATGATTTTATGAAAGGAGAATACAAAGTGAGCTTTAAAAAAAAAAGCAGTATTCAAACAGTTTAACTAGCAGAATCCTGACCCTACCAGGAGCACTCACTGCCAGGGCTCACAGGCTGTCCCTGCTCCCTGCTGCCTCACAAGACTGCTGCTGAAACAACTGGCAGAAGTCTGGGTTCTGACCCTTCCGGTTCCCCAGAGAACTCCAGAGAACTGTGTTCATTCCAAAGAACACTCTTCCATACCACGATCCAAAAAATTATCAATGACAGAACCAAGTGCTGCCTTCCATAAACTCATGAGATCTAGGATCAGCGAGTCACTTCTAGTTTCTGTATGACAGTCAGCTAGACAGCTGGGGAGGGGTGGTGGGCCACAGGGGTGGGATGGAGGAGGGGCAGAGAGTGTGCCAGACCCTGAGACTCAGTGTCAGAACCAGTAGGGCCCTGAGGATCAACCACTGCCCAGGGAATTGCCTCAGCCTTCAGGGAGACCCTGTTCCCTCTCCCAAGGCCCTCCTCATATATGCAAACCAAATTACATCATTCTTATGATAGAATAACTTATGACAAAAACAACGGCTCCAGACTTCCTGCCCTCCAAAGTAATGGCCTGATTTATCCAAGTATACATGGTTTTGTGCTGAAGACAACAGTTCAGTGAGTTTCAGGTAATGTCGAAAGAAAGAAAATTTGGGTGATATCAAAAGAAAACTCAGAGGCAAATTTGAACATTTAAAAGAAAGTATTTTTATTTCCACTGTCTGCAGGGAATGCCTGTAGAAGAACTGGGCTCTCTGAATAAGACACACAGAAGGTAAAGGACAATAGCAAAATCACAGTTGGTCTGTTCCTTTTTATTGGTAGAAAAAGAGCAGTTCCTCACATGACTGTCATATCAGCAAAGGTCATTATATCATCTGCAGCCATTGGTATTGTAATGTCAAAGGTACGTTTCTTTTCACTGAGGAGTCAGCAACTCACAGTACAAAGGGTCAGGACAAAGGGGTGATGCTTGACTGAGCTGTGGTTTATCACAGAAGACAAGATTCTCTGGCTAAGGTGGTATGTGATGTGCACACTTGGTCAAACATGGTTGTCAGGCCCTGGCAGGTGTGATCGGTTGAGCATCATCCCATGCACCAAAATGTTGCCGGTTTGATTCCCAGTAAGGGCACATGCACAGGTTGCAGGTTCACTCCCTGGTCAAGGTTCTTGCAAGAGGCGATCATTCAATGTTTCTTTCTCACCTCTGACATCGATGTTTTTCTCACGCCCTCTCTCCCTTTCAATTCGTCTCTCTCACTCTCTCAGACAGTGGTTCTCAACCTGTGGGTCGTGACCCCTTTGGCGGTCGAACGACCCTTTCACAGGGGTCGCCTAAGACCATCGAAAAACACATATATAATTACATATTGTTTTTGTGATTAATCACTATGTTCAATTTGTAACAATGAAAATACATCCTGCATATCAGATATTTACATTGCAATTCATAACAGTAGCAACATTACAGTTATGAAGTAGCAACGAAAATAATTTTATGGTTGGGTGACAACATGAGGAACTGTTTAAAGGGCCAGAACGTTGAGAACCACTGCTCTAAGACCAAAACATTTTTTAAGTAGTTGTCAGATTTTTTTCTCAGTAGAGGTAGACAGGTTTCCCTGAGTGGTAGGAGTCAAACAGAATTAAACTATTTAAACTAATCAGTGACCAGAGCAATGCCTGGGACATGGTATGCACTCAATAAACATTTATTGAGAACAGATGAAGAATACGGTTAGATAAATGGATAAGGGGTACCAAGGTAAAGAGAATGGCAGAGGAGAGATAAGGCCCTAAGGAGCGGAGATGGTATGAAGGTCCCTGTGGTAGTGAGTACTAATGATATTTGGGACATGAATGATTAGTATTCACTATTAACTTGTTTTTGTTCTGGAATTTAACCCAAATTTTCAGCAAAGACAAAAGCCTTATGTCGGTGGTACTCAGAGAAATTCAGATAAAGGGGCTGTGTCACACATTTGTGGAGATTCAGGGCACAGAGGAGAGCTCAAGGAATCAAAACATAAATTGATACTGACAGCTTTAGCAGGCAGAGGAAATCACAAGAAAAAATTATCAAAAGGGAAGAAGCACCTGGGAATACACACACACAAGGGAGTTGGAGTTCTCCCAGGGGTAGGGGTGTCAAGTCAGTTTGTTGGGTATAAAAATAAGTATTTGAGAATCAGATAGAGCTAGAAACTTCCTTCCCTCTGCCCACATTGAGAAAGTTGAGCTACAAGTGCATGGAACAGAGAATACATGATACAGCAAGAATTACACATTTGCAGTATAAGGCAGAGTCTAAGGGAAGGAATGACTCTCGCCCTCTCCTTTACACCCTCAACCTGGTTCATCTGCTTCCCTTCTCTCTGCCAGTCTGTTGGATATACTAGTTACTAGTATATATATATTAACTAGTAGATGGAATGACTTCTGCCTAAGACCCTCCCCCTTTAGTGTCTCTAGGTCTCTAAGGAGGTTAAATGTTCCCACTCACCCAGAAGCCTCCTTCCTTGTCATTAACTCAGAACAGGAAGCAGGGAAGAGGTTGAAATTCTACCCAGGAGAGAACCAGAGGACCAGAGGGAGCCAGGACATGTGCCCAATTCGGGGTATTTTAGGACAGTGGCCTCCCAGATTTCTTAGAATCTCAGCAAAGAACAGGACCAGCTGCCTCCTGCAACCCTCACTGGAAACTCCTTTCCTCAACCTCCAGATTCACATGAATTAGCAAGAACATAAAATTCTTTCTTGTCCCAGTACTCTCCATGAAGAAATTGGCTCTCCGTGCAGCCAGGCCTGGCTGCCAGCACCTCTGGAAATTTAGGGGTTGTTACAAGGGTTGGAGGTCAACTGGGACCCCTTCAGTACTTTAGAACTGGCTCTGATTATCCAGAATCAGGGACTGGTCCGGCAACCAAGAACACTTCTCTTTCCTGGGGTTGAAATTGCCATTGTGACTTATCTTAACTTTCTATCAATTGCCCCACTCATCTCTTTTATTTCCTTATTTTAAGGGTCCCCAAAGTCAATTCCACTCCATTCATATGCCCCAATTCTGCATTCAAACTTACACTAACAAGTCCCCAACACTGAAAGCCCTCACTTCCATCTCCTTACCACGGGCCTCTTGGTCTAAGAAGTCTCCTCAGGCTAATTCCCTCCCCTGCAACTTACTGAGGTCTGAAACTCCTCGACTCCCCAGCCCATCAGGATAAAGGAATTTAGAATGTACAGTACTGAGTGTTCCAAAGACCTGGCTAACACCCAGCTTGATGGTAATAAAGAGAGAACACATTTATCTCGAATAAACTAGAACTTCTCCATCAGAACAAGCACCACATTCTTCAAACTAGTCACCCTGTGAAGCCATAAATCATCCCAAACGATGTCCAATGCTCCAAATTGTCTCCCCTTTCAAACTGATTTTTAGAACCAGTTCAGAAGCTGGATAAGAAAGGGAGCCTTGTGAAGAAGTAACAAAGTGAGCTTTTCAGCCCACGCCTCTCTCCACTTTATTCCTCACCCTTGGATCTTAATGATAATTGACCACTTTCACCTTTCAGAGGTACATGGTGTCCCTTTGACATTATTTCAAGCCTGGGGCATTGACTCTGAGGACATCTTCCTGGCAGGAACAAATAAACTTCAGCTGCTTTACCTTCTGGCCATACCTAGTGCACTTGACCAAACTTCTACCAGCTCAGGGAAACAATTCACTACTACTGTGCCCATGGGTGCTTGCAGAAGACCAGTGAAGTCAGGGTGAGGGCTACGCCCTCCATCTTACCCCAGATCCTTCATTTTTGGGCAGCAGACTTAGCCATGTGCTCAGCAAGGAGCTTCCTCCCGGAAGCCCAAGCCTCTGCTAGCCACACCTGGGATTTCTTTAAACTAACCAATGATAATCAAGGGAAGTGTGCACCATAGATACAACCACATCCTGTGTAACAAGACACCGACTTGCGCCCAGCCAATCGGCAGTGCCCACAGTCCTCTCTCCTCCCCTTACTCCACTCCCCTATAAAACCCCTCTTCCCACAGGGCTAGCTCTCTCTGACGCTTGCCACTGTGTCGGTGAGTGTGGTCGGGGAGCCGAGCTAGCTCGAATAAAGACTCTTTGCTTTTGCATCGGACTCAGCTGGCTCCTTGGTGGTCTTTTGGGGATCCTGAAATCTGGGCATAACATTTGGGGGCTCGCCGGGATCGCCAAGACCCTCGAGGGACCCCCGATCCAGAGAGTCTGACTGGCCGTGGTAGGTGTCTGTGTGTTGTGTATTCTGTTCTGTGTGTTATATGTTCTGTCCTGTGTGAGCTCACTTCTGAAATTCTGTAGTGCCCGAAGCAGTCTAGGTGGACGCACTGCTGAAGGACCATGGGCAGGGAGAGTTGGAAGACGTTCTGCTCTTCAGGACGGATGTGTATTCCCCTCACGAGGGACGTGTATCCCCCTCACTTCACGAGGGACGTGTATTCCCCTCACAGAGGGACGTGTATCCCCCTCCAGGATCTGAGACGAGGTGGGTCGCTCCCGCTGGTTGGCGTAAGGCCATTGTCTAGCTTTCGGTTTTGCTTCCGTGGAGTCGCAAGGTTGTTTTGGTTTTGCATCCATGGAGTTGGAAGACTGTACTCTTGGGCCCTTTAGTTGTCTGTGTTTGTGTTTTTTTCTGTGGACTTACTGGACGGACATTATGGGACAGACTCAAACTACTCCTTTAAGCATTATGGTCGTTTTAAAGTCAAGGGCTGGGCCAAACCTGCTTGCCAGCCTCAGGTGTGGTTTTCCAGGGCCACTGCGGTGAGCCTTGAAGCCTAGGGCGCGGGCCGGGGTGGAGCTGCCGCAAGTGCAGATCTTAGTGGTAGTAGCAAATAATTCAAAGTCCTTCTTGTAATTGAAAAGTTTTACAAAATTTAAAAATGCGTCTGGGATTTCTGTGCATGTGTAAAGAGAAAAGTGGCTTGAAACTAATGCGAGCATTGTCCGATTTTGGATTAGATACAGTTTTGAGCTGGAATCTCTTTACAAATGTACAAAATAA